TTTTTTTTTTTTTTAAATGGTTATTTAGTTTTGAGAGAGACAGGGACAGAGCATGAGCAGGGGAGAGGCAGAGAGAGAAGGAGACACAGAATCCGAAGCAGGCTCCAGGCTCTGAGGTGTCAGCACAGAGCCTGACATGGGGCTTGAACTCGCGAACCGTGAGATCATGACCTGAGCCAAAGTCAGACGCTTAACCAACTGAGCTACCCAGGTGCCCCAAGTCTTTCTTTTTTTGAACAATAAAAGCAGTTCATGCCTATTGTGGAAAATTTAAAAAAAGCAGTTCATGCCTATTGTGGAAAATTAAAAAAAAAGGGTGATAACTAATAACTCATTGTAATCCCATCATCAAGAGAAAAAACACATGGTTAATATATTCTTTAAAGATTTTGTTTTCACTTATTTGAGATTATACTATATTACATTTTGTTGGTGAACGTTGCACTGGCCTTTTCAGTAACAATTCTGCATAAACATCTTTTATTAAACATAGTTATGTATATACTGCTCTGTCGATGCACCATAATTTATTTGGCTTTAGTGAACATTTCCATACAAATATTATTTGTCCATGTTGGAAATTATTTCCTTAGAATATATTGTTAGAAGTGGAATTAGCGGTCATCTTCAGAAAAGACTTGAGATGTGGCAGAGGGAACTTTAAACTGTAAAAGTGTGGAAGAAGACAACAGGAAAAACTGGATAGGAAGGAGTTTGGTGGGGGTGAGGGGTAACTCATTGGACACTGGTGTTATTGAGTGACTGGTGGTCAAGTCCAGGCCTTGCCCTGCGTCGTGGCCAGGTCTTTATTAAACCATGTGTTGTGGAGGTGCAGGCATATGTATTTATTAGATTCATGGGATGTAAGAGGCTTTGTGTCTTTGTGGAAGGTAACAGTTTTCTCCTTTTATTTTAGTTTGCAGGAAAGCCGTCCATTTTCAGTTGATTTTTTCAGGAAAATAATCCAGTTTGAAAAGGAGCAAGTAAGTGTGCTGTCAGTGTGTTCCTTGTCTGGGCAAATGAATTAATGGTTACCAATCTCTGGCAGCATTTCATCATTTAAAAAGCTCTTCTCATGTACATGGTATACATTTCTGGTCTCTTCATCTAACCATTTTTCAGAGAGATGGCTAAGGAATGGTAAGGAAAGAAGACAAAGTACATGTCTGGAAAGTGGAAAGCTCAGCTGTTACCTCATACAGGAAACTCTCCCTGCCAGGTTGGGAGGTGCTGCTTCCTCCCACCTGAGCATCCCATTTGTCTCTCGTATTGGGTTATGAGGTAGATAGTAGGCACTCAGCAACTATTGCTGGTGGGTTTTTTTTAAGTTTTATTTATTTATTTTTTTTGAGAGAGAAAGAGCATGTGCATGTGCGAGCGAGGGAGGGACAAGAGAGGGAGAGAGAAAATCCTAAGTAGGTTCTATGCTGCTAGTGTGGAGCCAGATGCGGGGCTTGAACCCATGAACCGTGAGATAATGACCTTAAGCCAAAACCAAGAGTCAGATGCTCAACCAACTGAGCCATGCAGGTGCCCCTCTTTCAGATGGTTTTAACTGAACTTGTAAGTAAGGAAAATTACAAGAAAGTCTCAGTTTAAAAAATAATATAGGAAGGGGTGCCTGGGTAGCTCAGTTGGTTAAGCAGCCAACTTCAGCTCAGGTCATGATCTTGCAGTCCGTGAGTTTGAGCCCTGCATCAGGCTCTGTGCTGATAGCTCGGAGACTGAGCCTGCTTCCGATTCTGTGTCTCCCTCTCTCTCTGCTCCTCCCCTGCTTGTGCTCTATCTCTTTCTGTCTCTCAAAAATAAATAAATGTTGAAAAAATTAAAAAAATAATAGAGGAAAATCCAAATGTGTCTGTAATTCTGTCACAATAATGCAGCCAACCATATATATTTTAATTTTAATTGTTTAACTTTTTTGTTTACACATATACACATAAGATTTTTTTCATACAAGAATTATTTCTGACATACGTGCCATGTGGAGGTTCTTTCTTCTTCTTTTTCCAATATTATTTTGTAAACACATTTCCTGTGTTTTCACATGGTTATCATTTTTTTTTTTTTTTCAACGTTTATTTATTTTTGGGACAGAGAGAGACAGAGCATGAACGGGGGAGGGGCAGAGAGAGAGGGAGACACAGAATCGGAAACAGGCTCTAGGCTCTGAGCCATCAGCCCAGAGCCTGACGCGGGGCTCGAACCCACGGACCACGAGATCGTGACCTGGCTGAAGTCGGACGCTTAACCGACTGCGCCACCCAGGCGCCCCCATGGTTATCATTTTTAATGGTTATAGTATTATTCTTAAACCTGTAGTTTTCTTAACCAGTCCATTACATACAGGTTGTTTCCAGATTTTTGATAATGAAAATAAGAGTGATGTAAGCATTTTGTTTATACAGCTTTTTTTTCCCTTTGTTCTTTTGAATAATAATTCAGGTTCTTGAGATAAATTTCTGGGACTGGAGATAATAGTTTTTTTTATGGCTCTTTGTATATTGCAAGATGGTCCTCCCAAAGAAGTACATTTTTTAAATTTGTTTCTTTAATTTTTTTTTATGTTTTTATTTTATTTTTGAGAGAGAGAGAGAGTGCAAGTGGGGAGGAGCAAAGAGAGCATAATAATAACCAGGCTTCAGATTAATAACATAATAGTTATGTGTCTTGGGCAATTCTAAACCTTGGTGTCCTCTTCTATAAAGGAGGTCATGATACTGGTTTCAGAGAAGTGCAGGTTACAAGACCAAAAGGGGATACCACCAAGAAGGGACTTTGCATTGTCCTTTGCCCGTTATGAGCCTTTAACAAAGAGTGATTCTGTTTTTCATGCATGTGTATGACATGAAGTTAAGTTGATTTTTTATAAACGAAAACAGTGTTAGGTGAAGAGAAAGTTTTTTTAGTTACCTTCAGTTGGGGAGGGGCAGAGAGAAAGGCAGAGGGAGAGAGAATCCCAAGAACCTGCACTGTCAGTGCAGAGCCTGATGTGGGGCTCAGACTCCAGAACTGTGAGATCATGAGCCAAAATCAAGAGATAGACACTTAACTGACTGCACCACCCAGGTGCCCCTAGTCAGCATTTTAATTTAATACTTGTAGTTGCTCTAAGAGGTATTATTGTTTTATGGGTGGGGAAACTTAAAGTCAGAGGGTTTAAAAAACTTGCTGCAGGTGATATAATTAGTATTTATATAGGCTTTGCTTTCACATAATAAGTTTTAAGGTGGACATAGCTAATATGTGCCAGAGTCCAGATGTGCCAAAGAAAGAAATCCTTAGCTACAGGGAGTAAACCTTCCCAGTTTACTTATTTAAATCCTCCTCTTCCCTCAGGTCATTCAAATATATTTTCCTGTGAACCTGCCCGTGTTCCCCCAACTGAGAATAAATCAGGCTTTTTTCCATGCTATCATAGCAAAGTGCTTTTTTAAAAAAAAAATTTTTTTTTCAACGTTTTTATTTATTTTTGGGACAGAGAGAGACAGAGCATGAACGGGGGAGGGGCAGAGAGAGAGGGAGACACAGAATCGGAAACAGGCTCCAGGCTCCGAGCCATCAGCCCAGAGCCTGACGCGGGGCTCGAACTCACGGACCGCGAGATCATGACCTGGCTGAAGTCGGACGCTTAACCGACTGCGCCACCCAGGTGCCCCGCAAAGTGCTTTTATCACTGTTTGACATTGACTTCACTCTGGTGTCTCCTGTATTTTGACTTTCCTCTGAATACGTTGAGAGCCAGGCTGTGTTCATCCTACATCATGAGCCTTCTCCCCTACAAATCCCTAATGGGTGGTAGCTGTTTAACAATGTGATTGAAATGAATTTGTGACATTCTGAATTAGGCTTTTGAGGCAAGATTGTCTGATTATTTTGTTAGGAATCCTGCAAGATGGTGAACTTAAGAGAATATTATGAGAGGGCTTTGAGAGAGTTCGGATCTGTAGATTCTGGTAAGTAAACTTCAGTTACAGACACGTCTGTTTGCATGTGTGGTCTGTAACCCATCAGTGTGGTTAGAACAGTGTTTAACTCTTTGTGGGTCATGGCCCTTTTTGAGAATAAAGATGGTATCCTGTTACTGCCTGCTCCCTTACTTTGTGCATAAATACTTACAGACATAATTTGGCTTATAATTTCAAGTTCGCAAGATTAAGAGTCTGTGGGTCTTCTTTTAAGAACTCTGGATTAGAGAAAGATTTGCTGGGTTTGATACTCTTAAAAATGTGGTATTTGTAAAGGAAAGGTTAATGTAGGTTAGAATAAGAGTGGGAGTGATAGCAAAGGTGGAGCGGGATACTAATTGACATTAGTTGTCACTGGCTGTTGCCACATTGTCCTCATTGAGGACCCATAAAACATTTCTGGCTGTAGGTATGTCATATAAATCCGTTTACTTATGAAGTCAAAAATATTATATAGTGCTTAAATTTAGATTAAAAAAATACGTTAGCTTTTACAAGGTTTTTAGCAGACTTTCTCCTGGTGAGGTGAATGAAAATGGCATTTTTCATTAACCTAAGCAAGTTTTATTAAGCATTATAAGAAGGTTATAATGAATTCATTGAAACTCATTTTCACCTTGAAAGAGACTCAGCAAAATCCTCCCGCTAAAGTATTTAGTATTTTTGGTTTATGAAATACGTGGATTGTCTTGATTTAAAATGAAGGTTTTCACTTAAAAAAAAGTTTTGATACTTCTCAGTGTAAAGAAGCTGAGAGAGGCATTGTTTCACATAGGGCTCTAGGGAGATAATAGCAACAAGTTCAGCTTCTTAGAAATCTTATATTGAATCAGTATTAAATAGTTTATATAATAAAGCTTTATCAATGATCTAGTTGTATGTTTACAGTAATAACATACTGTTTCCCTTTAAAGATCTTTGGATGGATTACATCAAAGAAGAACTGAACCACCCCCTTGGTAGACCTGAGAACTGCGGGCAGATATATTGGCGAGCCATGAAAATGTTGCAGGGAGAGTCAGCAGAAGCATTTGTAGCTAAACACGCTATGCATCAAGCCGGCCATTTGTGACAAGAGGAAGAACGTAGCCCCCTTTGGGAAATAGCATTGTAAGCCCTCTTGGCCAGATTTGTATTAGGAGTTCATCTGCAGTTTGTTGAGAGATAGCAGACAAGATGGCTGTCTGATTTTGGGACATGCTTTTTTAGTTTTGTTAGCGTGTTAATTTTTAATTCCAGAAAAGAGAATTGCTATTTAGTGGCAAGAAGCTACTTGTTAAGGTCTGACCTACTACTGTACGGTCCTACATGTTTCTCAAAATATATGGAAATCATACAACTGAGTTTTTCTTGTTACCCTTGGTCAAGAATGAATAGCTCTAAACTGTACCTAGAGGCCAGTAATAATGGAGGGGAAAGTACAGTTCCATTTGTTTGTTCTCTCCTTATTAAAAAAGTATACATGGGGCCCCTGGGCGGCTCAGTTGGTTAAGCGTCCGGCTTCGGCTCAGGTCACGGTCTCAGGGTTTGGGAGTTCGAGCCCCGCATTGGGCTCTGTGCTAACAGGGTGGAGCCTGCTTGGGATGCTCTTTCTCTCTCTCTCTGCCCCTCCCCTGAGAGCATGTGTACAGCTTCTCTCTCAAAAAATTAAACATTAAAAAAAATATTAAAAAAAAAGTATACATGGTGTACATTTGTTGTAGGAAATATAGAGGGAGCAGAGTAATGTGGAGAAGAAATTAAAGCATCCTATAACATCATCTGGAGTTAAACTCTGATTTCCTTTATGACATTGGATTTATACTGTTAGATTACTTATTCATTCGCTCATTAAGTGCCCACTATTAGCAGAAAAGAAGGGAAGCTTTTGGGATGGAGGTAGTGTTTGGCGGGACAGCTGGACATCCTGAGAGAGCTTGTTGAAGCAGCAGAAGAGGATGCTGGATATTGGGAAAAGTCCTTTAAGAGGATAAAGACTTTACAAAAGTGTCTTCTGTCTGGGACTCATCTTCAGAGAAGTGTCTACAGTGGGGAGGTCCAGCAACAAAAGGAGGATGTGGGTAGGGTGTAGATGAGAGCAGTAGAGAAGGCCTTCAGAAGCCAGAGTGGAGGATGGCTTGGAGCAGAGAGGGCATTCTGGGAGTAGGGTAGGCAACTGTTTGAATTTTACATCCTTTAACTTAACACTGTGGTCACTGGGAGAAGCATTCAGGTCACCGGGAGAAGTGTAGTTTTCCTTAGCAGTATGTTTCACTTATGTTATTTTTCTATGTCATTAAATAGCCTTAAAAACATGTAATGAATTTATAACATTCCATTGTAGGGATGAGCCATGACTTATTTTACTAATGCCTTGTGGTTGGATCTTGTATATCTGATTTTTTTCTTATAAATGCTGTTGATGATTCTTATAAATCTTTGTTCACATCCCTGGTTATTTCTTTAGGAGTGTGATATTTGCTGGTAGAATTACTGGATTAAAGGGTGTAACTTTTTTTTTTTTTTTTTTTTTTTAAAAAAAAATTTTTTTTCAACAAGTTTATTTATTTTGGGACAAGAGACCAAATACATGAGCGGGGGAGGGCAAATAGAGGAGACACAAATAACCGAACAGGCTCAGGCTCTGAGCCATCAACCCATCCCAAACCCATCCAGCGGGCTCAGATTGATCACGGACCGCGAGATCGTGACCTGGCTGAAGTCGGACGCTTAACCGACTGCGCCACCCAGGCGCCCCAAAAGGGTGTAACTTTTAAAGATACTGATATGTACTGCCAGTTTGCAATGTATGAGAATACTTTCATGCAATGTAGGAGAAGGTCAATACTTTACCTGCGGTGGGTATTAATGAAGTTTAATGTGTTTTTCTTGGTTCTCTTGTTTCTTCACGTTGACTATTTTTTGAACTTTTTTCTTACTAATTTAAAAGAATTTTTAAAATACTAAGAATATTAATTTTTAGTTTGTCTCTCCTTTGTTGCAAATAATTTGCCCCTAGCTTTTTTTTTTTTTTTTTTTTTTTTTTTTTTTTTTTTGTGGTGTTTTTTGATGCCCAGAAGATGTGTGTGTATGATACCTATTCCTCTTGCCTTAGACAACTCATTTTCTTCCCCCCAACCACTTCACTAAATTTTCTACAACACCATTTGTGGCTAGCCCTTTATCTCTACTGATTGTGGTACTACTTTTATTATATGTTGAGTTCCTAATGATATGAGAGTCTATTTTAGGGCATTTTTACTTTGAGATTTTGTACTCTAAATGTTGTTTGCTTGTCATTTGTTGTAAAATAAGAACAGTTTCCTCTTTGACCTTTTCATGGAGTCCTGGGAAGTTTAACATTCCCAATCCCGGCATGGCATTTTTGTTTCAGGAGGGAGATACATGCTTGTAAGAGATAAGAGTGAGGAGGGTGGTGGTTGGCTCCTTAACGCAAGGCGATGAAGGTGGGTCACCTGGGATCATCCCAACACCTAGGTTTGGGGCTCGTTATGCAGGTTGCGAAGGTGCATCTGGCTAGTTCACCTAGACCTGCCATGTGTGGCAATTTACATCTAATGAAATTATTTTCTCATTTACGCTGGCCACATTTCGAGTTCTTGATAGCCACACGTTTACCATAGTGGACAGCACAGATAATAGAGCTTTTATTTCTGCCATTGAAAGTTCTATGGGAGAGTGGTGACGTGGATCCAATTAGCTTTGGGGAAACTGACTCATGGATCAGAACAGCTCACACATTAGTTGGCCACATTCTTTTCCCTGCAGGGAGGTCTACATAGAGGAGAGAAAAAATACTGTGTATCAGCGGTTACCCTAATTTTTTTGTAGTAAAAACTTTTATGTAAATTTTTAAATTTGAGTGTGGTTGAGACAATGTCAACATTAGTTTCATGTGTACAACAAGGATTCGACAACTCCTGCTGTGTGGCTGTGCTCACCACAGCATGGCCACCAGCTGTCACCATACAGGTCCACTACAATACCATTGACTGTATTTCCTGTACTGTATCTTTTATGCCCATGACTTACTCATTCCACTACTGGAAGCCTGTATCTGCCACTTCCCTTTACCCACTTTGCCTCACCCCCCACCCCCATAATGCTAGTTTTGTTCAAATGTCTTTTATGGTTTATAAACACATCCTTACAGGGAGATGAAGGAATAAGCTCCCTAATGTCCCGAAAGGTTGTCATAAAGTGGCCTAGTGAGCAGGGAATCCCAGCTTCTAGCTTTTCTATTTCATTCTTAAAATGAGTATCACACCTTGAGCACCGGTATGTTATTAAGAGTTTAGGCAGCGTGGGGAAAGGCAGGGAAGGGTTCCTCCCCAGCTCGGGCCCTGCCGATCTGCTACTGCCCTCAGCTTGTAGAGGGCCAGACTTTGAGCATTAAAAAATTGGAGCCCAGCCAGACTACAGTGACAGCACCAAATGTTTAGGGTTACTGTGACCGTCATACCGTGTCTGGACATCGTTTTCATCATCTGTCCTGGTTTCTAAGAACTGTCATTAACTTAACGTGGAGAATCACTGAGCTGCTGAGCTGTCTCATCCATTTGTGGGTGGGTTATAGCCCAGTTCCAGCCTGAGTTCTACGGAAACCTGTGACAAATGTGGTTGGGTCTAAATTGCATTCAAACTTTTGAGAGCTGAGCTTTGTAGACTATCAGGTAGACTCGGGTAATTGATTAGTCTAACCAGGGATTCGAGATTTGGGGGCTGAGGCACATCATCAGCGTGGTGGGGTAGGGATAACAGCTGGCATTTCAGACCCTGCTAGTCGCCAGCCCTGGGATGTGCACCGGCAGGAGCAGGAGCACGAGGAGCGAGAAGAATCAGAACCCGGGACCCTAGGAAGGGGGCTTGGCTGTCGGGCGCGCCCCGCCCCTCCCGCGCTGCCCCGCCCCGCCCCGCCCCGCC